CACCAAACAAACCATTGGTAACACAATACACCAACATGGATTGAGATCCTGCAGCGCCCGCAAGGTCCCCCCTCTCAAGAAGGCACATGTACAGGCCCATCCGAAGTTTGCCAATGAACATCTAAATGATTCAGACAAGGATTGGGAGAAACTTTTGCGGTCAAATGGAGACCTTTAGCTCTTTGGCATCAACTCGACTCGCCGTGTTTGGAGGAAGAAAAATGCTGACTATGACCCTAAGAACTTCATCACTACAGTCAAGCACGGAGGAGGAAACATTATGCTTTGGGGCTGTTTCTCTGCTAAAGGTACAGGCTGACTTTGCCGTATGGGAGGGGCCAATGGACGAGGCCATGTATTGTAAAATCTTGGATGAGAACTTCCTTCCCTCAGCCAGAACACTGAAGATGGGTCATGGATAGGTCTTTCAGCATGAGAATGACCTAAAACATAACAAGGCAACAAAGCAATGGCTCAAGAAGCAGGACATTAAGGTCATAGAGTGGCCTAGACAGTCTCCAGACGTTAATCCTATAGAAAATGTATGGAGGGAGCTGAAACTTCGAGTCGCCAAGCGACAGCCAAGAGACCTTAAGAATTTAGAGAAGATCTGTAAAGAAGAGTGGACCGAAATCCCTCCTGAGATGTGTGCAAACCTGGTAACCAACTACAAGAAACGCCTTAGGGCTCAGTCACACTAGATGCAGTGCGTTCAGGTTCGATTTTGGCCGCAACGCACTGCCTCGCATTGCAGCCGGCTCACTTTTAGTGGGTTAGGAGGGGGCGTGGCGGGCCATTCAAGTGAATGGCGCTGTAGCCACGCCCTCCGGCCGCAATGCGATCCACCGCATGGGATCGCAAGGCACATTGTGCCTGCGGTCAGGTCCTGTGCGATCAAAATAGCGCTTGTAGCATTTTGATCGCACAGGATCGGACCGCAGGCACAGTGTGCCTTGCGATCCCGTGCGGCGGGTCGCATTGAGCCGGCCGCAATGCAAGGCAGTGCGTTCCGGCCATAATCGGGCCAGAACGCACTGCATCTAGTGTGACTGAGCCCTTACCTGTGCTTGCCAACAAGAGTTTCTGCACCAAGTACTAAGTCATGGTTTTGCTTGGGGATCATAATTATTTTACTCACCGAACTGCAACTCAATTTATAACATTTGTATCGTGTGTTTTTTCTGGATTTTTGGTTGATATTCTGTCTCCATCATTTAAAATATACCTAATACCTATGATAAAAATCATAGACCTTTCATTTTTTTTGTAAGTGGGCAAACTTACAAAATCTGCAGGGGATCAAATTATTCTTTTCCTCACGATATGTATTTCTCTCTGTCATGCCTAAACCCAAGAACAAATTTTATGTTTTGCTACTTTCCATTCCTTAGGTGGCTGCATTAGTCCCCTTTTTTCAGGCCATTAAAATTTTTTGCAAGGGTATAAAAATACCTGCCAACATCCTGTGCAATGAACTGAAACCTCATAACAATGTTATCAACATTGCTAGTTATCCTCTGAACTATAGAACACCTTCCCACCCTGTGTGATGGAGTAGAGCAGGTGCTTGTCATGCAAGGCAACAACGCGTACCCTCCATAGACAGTACGGTGAGTGGGCACTGTAAATCATCCTAGGACAGAAAGTGTGTTATTTGGTAGGACCACTCGGTAAAAATTAAAGCCCCACTCTGGGCCTCTGCAAAGCTAATGCAACCACCCAAACATCAAAGCATTGGTAAGCTGCAATATATTACATTTGGGTTATTGGCTTTCAATGCAGTTTGCTGTAGCTCTAGGCATTTCCAAAACACAGAAAACCATAAGATAGGTCAAATCAATTTGGAAATCAGGAGCCACTATGATTTTTTTTTTTAGGATCCAGTTCTATTGAGAATAACTAGAGAAAACCTCAAAAGTTTGGCTCCAGCAGTAATTTTTTAGGAGCATTGGCTACCTCGGCTTTGGGGTTTGAGCATTCCTGCAATAAGTACTAGGGAGGTATAAAAATAGCATAGCAGACTAGCAGACCTTTGCTACATCTGTCCAATCGGTCCTGGTCATTCTTCTAGGATGGCAAAAAGTTCCGTTTTTCAAAAGAACCCAGGAGAATGAAAGTCCTCCAGGCACTTCCTGTTATGGCGTGATATCAGTCTCCCAACTGGACCTAGGGTTGTCGCCCTATCACATGCTCCCCTAATATAGACTACAAGTAAAACGTGTTGACACACATCGCACAGACATGGTTCACCATGAGGAAGGTTATGAATGTGCAGATGACAGTGAAGTGCATGTATTTCATGCAAATTGATACACATTAAAAATGGATCAGCTATTCTCTGACAAAAAAACACTGGCAAACAATCCAAAAATTGTACCCCTCTTGAAAACTGATAAAAAGGTTTCCTAAAAGTGCCCCACTGAGCCTGCTCTGCCACATTCAAGAAAATACCCGTTCCCTTGCACAATTAACCAATATAAATAATCATGAAAGCTCTCGATGGGGGTATGTGGAAAAACAAAGAGTGGAATCTGAGGATAGTATTTGTGAGCTCCTTCTATCATTTTCCTGATTGGAAACAATCAGTAACGGGCCATATAGATGCAACTTTTAGAGTACCCACGTTTTACATTGTGAATAGCCATACAGATTCCTAGAAGTCTTGAAAGCATGACCGGTTACTGGACCTTGGGACATGAATGTTCAAGAAACAATGGCCTATGAAACCCTTATGCCAACATTTGGATCCAATCAAGATGTTCCATTTGATCTGCAATACCTAGGAATTAGCTACAGATAATCAGTTTCAATGTTTTTCCTCATAAGACCAAGGAGGAAAAATAAATAAAAGGAGGCGACATTGGAGAACCCCTGACAGGATATATAGTGCAGAAGCAACCATAGTAGAATAAATATTAGGTAAACACCAAAAAACAGGAGAAATATTATAAGAACATTAGAGAAGCCCTGGCAGCAGAAATACTGTGCAAGCATCCATGGCAGCATAAAGAACATGATCACAGAACCCCTGCTAGAAAAGTATTACAGAAGCACCCACAGCAGGAAAATGTTATGAGCGCATTAGAGCACCAATGGTGGGAGAAGAACACACAGCAAGGCAAATCTGTTTAAATAGAATAGCATCACTAAATGTTATTGTTTATTTATGATGCATACATCATGGTCAGTTAGTTTATTTCTGTTGCTTTGGGATACAACTCCGCTCTGCCATGGTCTCCGAATCATGTAGCTTTGTGACATATCCCAGGGCAGATGAAATAAACATCGACTTGCGTACATAAATCCACAGCCAAGAAGAACAGAAAGGAGAATTGGTTTAGTATAAGTTGCAGGATAGCTTGCACAAGTCAATAAATGGAAGCCATGTGAAGCAGAAAATATGCTCTCTGGATGCAAATATTGCTTAGCAAAGTTCTTTAACAAACTAGTCACACATTACCCAAGTTCAGAAACATTCACCATTTATAGGGATTTTCAGGATTTTTTTTTTTTTAACCAATCCTCTTCAGATGCCATAGCACCAGTATGCTTTAGTGGGAAGGTAGGTGCAGACAACAATGTTCAGGGCAGCCTTCCTTGCCACAAATGTTGGTTGCCCTCATGGCAAAATACAACCCACGTAACACTTCTACCTGTATTAAGAGATACTGAGGGGAATTTATCAAAACTGGAGGAGACAGAATCTGGAGCAGTTGCCCAGGGCAACCAATCAGCTTATTTCTTTTGTTTTCAAAGCTTAACTGAACTGAACAGAGAAGCTGATTGGTTACTATGGGCAACTGCTCCAGTTTTCATACAACCCTCCAAGAGGCTGGAACTCTGCTGCCCCCTCAAGCAAAAAACATCACAGTTAAATATTCAACAAGACTGTGTAATCTGAACATTGTACACTTTAAAATGGTTCTCTTGGAAGGGTAATTCCATTTTTGTTTCTGTAAATATGGCTTACCAGCCATTTAGCTTTTTTTATTTGCCGATACTGAGCACTGCAGTCGTTTATATTGGTTAGTTTTTGTTTGCATGTGGTTTTGGGCTGTGCCTCTTTGCTACTAGCCATTTTTTTAAGAAGCATGTTAGTGTGGTGATGTGGTGCATGGGCTTATTTCCTCCTGTTTACAGATCCCAGCATGAATTAGCAGACTATGTTTTCATATTATCACGCAATTGGACAGCACCTATGCTGTACGTACTTGTGCAAAGAGTTAGGACACAGCCCACATGACCAGAAAGGGGGCTGAACATAATGACATAAAACCACAAAGTCCAGAAATGCAGAGCAGCTGGACAAGGAAACTGTACACACAACAGAACAATGTGGTGTATGGCAACCAATAAACATAGATGGGCAATTGCCAAACTAAGACAATATGCAGGAGGAAAAAAAAAAAAAAACCACACTATAAGAGACACTATTATATATACATTAACCAAATATGCTATTCAATGCTTTCTTTCTGGGCCAAGAGGTGCCAGAAGTCATGCGGTGGCCATCTTGGTTTTTGACAGGGATGCACTGCGCATGCATAGTACGTCCCCGCTGCCACAACCAAGATGGCCACCGGCAATAAACCTCATTGCCGGCAGCCATTTTGGATGTAGTAGCAGGGACGCAGTGAGCATGTGTGTAAACAGCACCAACAGACATCACCCTGCGCGGGTCTCCTGGCGCTGTGTCTGTACACTTGTGCATTGTTTGTATGGCAAGTGTACAGACACGGCGACAGACCAGCGCCATCACCCTGCACGGGGTGATGACGCTTGCCGTGAGGGTGCCTTTTTTGTAATTTATATTTGCGATTTTAGATCGCAAATTTATTTTTATTTTTTTTATTCAAAGGGCTGGGGGTAGGTGCCAGTACTGCGTACGAGTGTGTACCGCCAGAACAAAAGCCCTCATGCTATTACATATTTAACTTACAACAATTTAATTAACCCTTAAGCTTGCTCAACAATGACTGTTCTACAGATGATCAGCTTACATTTCTTCTTCTTCTTCTTTACCAGAAGGCTCCTCTTTCGTCTCAGGAATATCTACAGGTTTTTGCTCTTCTTCCTGGAATAGAATAAAATACCTCAATAAAGTTTTCAAACACTGAGGAACTAATACAGCGTATAGTGCATTCAGAAAGTATTCAGACCCCTTCACTTATTTCAATTTTGTTATGTTGCAGCCTGATACTATAGTTGATTACATTCTTTTTTCCCCTCATTAATCTACACTCCATACCCAATAATGACCAGGTGAAAACAGAATTTTCTAAATGTCTGCAAATTAAAAAGAAAAAATAAATAAATGAAATAATCACATGTACTTAGGTATTCAGACCCTTTACTAAGTACTTTGTTGAGCACCTTTGGCAGCAATTACCGCCTCAAGTCTTTTTGGGTATGACGCAACAAGCTTTGCACACCTGGATTGGGGGATTTTCTGCCATTTTTCTTTGGAAATCCTCTCAAGCTCAGTCAGATTGGATGGGGACCATCGGTGGAGAGCCATTTCCAGATTTCTCCAGAGATGTTTAATAGGGTTCAAGTCAGGGCTCTGACTGGACCATTCTAGGACATTAAAAACATGCCGACTGAAGAAGCAGCGATTAGGTCATCACTCTACATCTCTGTCCAGTCACAGGTTTTGGCGGGGTTAGGGGGGTACTAGGCTGTATTGCAAAACTGCAGTAGAGAAATGTCACATCATCAACCTGGCTGTGCTCATTGACTATGCTTTGTAAATCTCAGAACTGGATGGACAGAAATACAAACTCTTTGGTAGGTAAAACAGTTCTTTTATATGTATTTCAACTGTCTATTTAGTGGTTTGCCTGGAGTTCAGCCTTATGGATACAACAGAAAGTAAATAAGCCATTGCTGAACGTGTTTGGATCTTGGCTATGGATCTACTCACTGCCACCTGTACTGCATCACTCAACATCGAGACAAAATGTAAGAGATGTACACAGCTATATGCTAGAATATGTGAAAACTCTACCTTTAAAGTGAATCTGCCACATACCTGCAAAACTCTACCTTTAAAGTGAATCTGCCACATACCTGCAAAAGCCTGCTATGACCAAATTTCAGGTTGCTGTACATAAGCAAAGTTACGGCACTTCCTGCCAGTGGCTGAACCTGCTTGCGCCCATCTAAACACACACCAATAGAAAAGAAGATGAAAGCTCTGCTAGAGCCGATATGCACCCGGGGATGGTTGCTTTTCCTCAAGGCGGATAAGAAACCTCAGGGATAGATGGGGAGGGAGGGTCCCATAATAGAATAACCTGAAGGTTAATCCTCGGACAAGCCCAGGCATGCAACCCCCCAGGTCCACTGTCCCTGATTCATGGGGGAGCGGTTACGATGCTCCTGTTAGGCCGGAGGAAACACAAAAAACTGAGGTGGTGGGGCTGTACCGCCCCTTTTATTTTAATTGTGGATGATGTGTTTCCTGTTTGGGTGGGTGGATTCTCTCTCTCAGATGCTGCCCTGGAAGATGACTTGGGAAATTGTATTTTCTTTATGGTTTATGGAGAGATAGAAATTCTATTACAACCAGGACGTCCAAAAGCAGTCCAAATGAGGGGCCATCAACACCCACTAATAGAACCATAACATTTAAGATCAACCACTGATGGACTAACAGAGGTCCAGTCAGTACCATGACTTCATGAAAGGATGCCCTGACAAGGTGGGAAATGTCTGTTCTGGTGAACCAAAGAGAGTCACTGGTGTGGGGAGACACCGAAAAGAAAAACAAACATTCTCAGGGGTGTGATGGGAAGGCACCACCTCGTCCTTAGAAAGTACAGAAAAGTAGCATCTGGGATGTTTAGATGAAAAGAGATCATTTGGATGAGTCTTTGAACCTAGGCACCCTGACGCCAGTTCTTGGGGGTTTAGTCTGACAGCTACAGGGGGGTGACCTGGGCACCCAAAAACTGGGGAGATACTCTATCCAGAGACACACCTGGATGAACAAACAGTCCCACACTTGAAGTGGGGGTGCACCTTTATACAGTAGGGTAAGTAGAGGACTAGAAGACTTCTGACTGCGTCCCCTGAAGTCTGAGGGGGCAGCAGACTCTGAACGTCTAAGTGCAGGATGAGGGAGTAGGGTGGGGTTCCTATGAACCTTCCACAAACCTTCTGTGTTGAAGCAGAAAAATGCCCTGACCACCGGTGGTGTCGGTAATGACAATGCCAAGAGCATGTCCAAAGAGACAATGTCCCTTGATGAGCAACTGAATTAGATGCTCCCTGGAGGCATCATCTGCATTCCAAGCACACATCCAAGGTTACTGACGCCTTGGTACAGACATCAGTCCCCCGCAAGATACAATTTAAAGAAGCCATCACAACTAGAGCACAAGGCTCCAAACATTAAACACAGGTTTTCAGGTGGCCCGGTGGTCACTATAAGCAGGCAGTGAAAAG